TCTTCTTTCATGCACTGTTCTAGAATAGGAAGTCTATCCATTTAGGTCTGACTTAATCACTGTCGGGACTACCACCCCCCTTACTAATCCTCTGATCTCTCCACCAACTGGCTGCTGCATCTCAAGCACTCTGCAGAGAGTTGAGAGGAAAAGGATTCACCTGAGAGGTTGTCTGTTTTCACCAGGGACACAATGATATCAACACAGTCCAACATATGCTTCAGATTATTTTCTGGTATTATCATATGACTTGTTTGTCTTATGCATTAGTTTCAGTGGGAGCTTAAAGCTTAGGTTAAGCTTGCGAGTGAAACAGAAAGGTGAGACATTGCTCTTTCTGATTACTCCGCTTCAATAAGACACATTTTTCAATATAAACACACAGTTCAGACAAATCTTTAGTCTAAAAATGGTCAGAAAATAGAGAAAAATGTTCCCTCTCAAATTCCCAGAGCCCAAGATGACATGTTACTGAGAATTCCTAAACCCAAATACTGTATATTGAAGTCCCAGTGATACAACATAGAGAAAAGTAGCAAATTTCACATTTGAAAGGCAAGAAACACAGTGTTTGGATTCGTTCTTGACCAAACAATTAGCCAGTTATCAAAATTGTCAGTTAAGGACTAATCCTGTCAGCACAGGTGCAGGATGGATGGAGGTTTAGACCTCATCTAATAGAGTATAAATAAAAATTAATGGCTTTTGAGATGATGGGGCCCTGTGCAGAGATCCCTAAAGGATCCCTAACAGCCACCACCTTGCCATTGTCCTGATTAGAGTTTCTTTGTTAGGAATTTAGAAAGTTAATTCAGTTTTTTCAGGACTTCTGATTGGAATTAGCCACTTAACACAAAGGCTGTAGGTTGTGGCCTCGTTGACACTACGGCCCTAGGCCTGTTCTTTGTAGACTTGTTTTATAATGAGTACAAGCCAGATTATTTATGTAGTAATGCATCTTGTTATCTTCATGAAGCATTCATTCATATTTGCATAGAAAGCCCAAAATAAGACACGCAGCTCCCTCCATGATGGTTTTTTCTGAGCCATTTTGCCATTTTAACCCAATTATTTCCCTAAAACAGTGACCTCCTTCCTGATCAGCTACATGCATCTTCCCTTCATTACACAGCTGAGGGAGAAACATGGAAGGAAATAGGACCCACTGTCCCCTCCCTTCCCCTGGCTCCCCTCCCTTCCCCTCCCTATTCTCTCTACTTTCCATTCAACCACCACCACCACCATCCCCGCAGCTCCGCTATGAATTCAGGGAAATAATCTGGCCCACAGTGACACCATTAACGTGCCCTTAAATGCTTCTTCGCCCTCTAAAAATACAATACAAAAAAAATCGAAGCCAGTTTAAAGAGAGAGCTTGGAAAAAATAAAAAATAAATAAACAACAACCCCAGCCGGGTGCTGAGCGTTACAGCGGATGCAGGGAAGCATTTGCCCCAGCAGTTGGTGTGCAGTGATACGCGGCCACCAGACACACCGCCTAACAAAGACCACCGGCGTGAAATCTCAACTGTCATGCATACCGCGGACAAAGAATGGCAGACCGAGAGTGAGTCTGCAGCACACATGAATATTGAAGGTTAAGTTGTGGCTCGGTTTCAGCACTTGTCGCAAAGATGCTGCAAAAAAAATCAAAAAATCTTTCAGCCTCACCACAGTGTCGGTGGCCTCATTGATTTATCGACCCCCAGTGCGCGTTTGGTCTGCGTGAAAGCAGGGTGGCTTTTCTTTCTTTCTTTCTTTCTTTATTTATTTATTTACAATAAAACCGACATGCATCTGCAAAATGCATTTAAGAAAAGCGACTCGTGCAGCCTGGCGAGCTCAGATTCTTAGAGGAGCGCAGCGGAGGCGCATGCAGGGACCATGCCGCCCCGGTGACATCCTGCACCCACACCCGCAGCCAGGCCCACACCGACCAGGACACCGGACGCCAGACTGGATATAATCTGAGCTACTTCAACATTAAAAAACACCCCGACACTCACTGTGATGCGGGGGATGTTCTTCTTGCCCTGGTAGCCAGACATATTCGCCGGTGGATCGTCTTGCGCTGCGCCGTGGACCGCAATCAATGCAACGGGATGTACGGATTACTGCCGCTCGCCGGGCTGAAACGAGGATGATGAGGAGGAGGAGGAGGAAGAAGAAGGAGAAGAAGCCGGGATGGTCGCAGTTGCTCCTTGGGAGGCCACAAACCGTAAAAGACTCAAACTATCTCTCAACTCCGGATCGTGTCCTGGCAGCCTCCCGGGTCTCCGCCGATGCACCAAACCTTTCCTTCCCAGACGGAGTCAGACAAGAGGGGAGGGAGGGACCATTCGCGAGCCTCTTCCCATAAAAGAACCCCACGGAGCATGCGCAGAGCCTCGCCCTGCTCCATTGACAGGAGAGAGCCACTAATGCCATCAATTGCTCTCCTTCCTTGGATTAGTGAAGGAGGCAGAGAGTGCACCAAGTGAACAAGTGGAGAAACACCCAGCAGCCATCTTAACTCCACTTCATCTGATCAAAAGCTGAATTTTATTAGAGAATGTAGGATCTCAGCCAGTGCACAAACAGGATCGTTTCCAGATCTGTTTCCAGCTCCAGTCAACTTGTTTTGACAATTTTGTGATTGAAACAGTCCCAACATAGTTTAAAGAAGACTGAAAACAAGAAGTGACACTTGTGGGGATCAGGGAGAACAGAACAGAGGGGACACTGGGGTTGATCTTTTCTACTGTTTGAAGAAAAATGAGATTTTAACAAACATAATGTCAAATAAAACTGACTTGCATTGTTGTAAATTATTTTCCACACACAGTTTATTTTTATTAGCAAACACATATTACTGACAGCGGCACACACTGATGATGTCATAAGGCTGCGACTATGGTGGCCTGCAGTCACTAATGACATTTGACTTCAGAGTAAATGAGATGCAGTATCCCGCCTAGCTTAATGGCTCCAATTGCATGTTATGGACAACAACTATTTTTTTTATTTAAAGGGCCACTGTGTAGGATTTAGTGGCATCTAGCAGTGCAGTTGCAACTCCTTCGTCTCACCCTCCCCTTCCAAGTGCGAAAGAAAAACTGTCTGTCTTTTGGTCGTTTTCCTTCTGGGCTGTAGAAACATTGCAATTCAACATGGCGGCCTCCATGGAAAGCAACCCTTGACGTAAGAAAACATGGTGTAAAATATAAACGGCTCATTTTACGAAAGACTAATGAAAACATACCTATAATTATTATATTCCATTTCTGCCAATAGGTCCTCCTAAATGTTACACACTGGACCTTTAAACAATGTCAGCATATACAGTATATACTGAGCAATACAAAGTATGCAAATATTAGCTAACCACCAGAAGAATGTGTTTTAAAATGCTGTAAAAATGTTTTAAAAGACCAGACTCCTTATTTTAAATGGTACAGAGTGTCACTTTAAGGGCCTTCCTTTAAAAATGCTGTACCGGCGTGTGGGATTGTTATATGAAGTTTAACCTGTATCTAAAATATAAAGATGTTCAGTCTGTCGGTGATGGAATAGGCTCTTTTACTTAGATAAAACTGTATTCAGTTGGTTGCAATCAGCTACATCTCTGCTAGATGCCACTAAATCCTACACACTGGTCTTTTAAAGTACCAGAAGTAAAAGTACTCATTATGCAGAATGGTCCAATTTCAAAATATGTGTATTATATTATTGGATATACAGTATGTTATTATATCATTATTGGATCACTTTGCAGCTGGTAAAGGTGGGGCCTATTTTTATTTATGTATACACTGCTGGGTAGCTTGTGTTTTCCCCCCAAGGATCAATAAAGTCTTATCTTATTCTATAAGATTACATCCTAAATATATTTTCTATTATTAATCTGAATTTGTTAATCTGAAAGTTACCAAATACATTTAGAGTAGAAGTAGCAGAAAATGCAAATAGACATGTACTTTCCACCACTGCAGTCTGCTTATGTCACATTTCTTATCAGGCAGGGTCCTCAGATGCAGGCTAGCTTTTAAACATCCCATCACTTAAATTCTTATATTATTAATATGCAGGAGCAAATTAAACATGTCCAATGTATATTATTTTATCTCAGAAGAGGGGGGCAAGCTACTATACATGTAAGAATTAAATAGATAACAGAAATTAGATAGAAGAGAGTAAAGAGCTGATTGGGTGGCTAATGCCTCGAATCAATATGTAACATGATACCATGATACACAACACCACCACCCAAAGCTTTTAACAGCATCCTGAGTGCTTAAATATTAAGTAAAGGAAGCACTGATAGTGTTTGTGCCACAGCTGACCACCCAGCTGTAAAACCTGGATAGTGAGTTTGAAGCAGCAGCAGAAAAGTTGATAGATTTTTTTCCTGCAAGTCATGCAAGTCAGAGCTGCCATCCCCACGGCTCCACACCCTCCACTCTGCTGTTAGAGAACCTGAATGCACCACAGCAACATAATGCTGCAACCCTGCACCACATCACCCAGAGCTGTGTGTTCACATGTCCCATCTAACCAATCTTGTTATTCATTGTCCTCATTCAGACGTTGTTTGTGTTTACAGCCTTGCTCAAGGACACTTCAGCAGCCCATGAACACACACTCTATGGGGTTGTATTGTCAACCAGCCAGCTGCACAGTGCAGCAGGGATCAGATCAACAGTCATGTAAGCTGGAACTAACAGGAGCCACTCCCTCTGGCAGCTCTGCATGGTGGGCCCTCTGTCTGTTACATCACAGTGCTTTCTGGGAAATGTAGTCAGGGCAAGTTGTCTGGCATACATTGGCTATAAGCTTAAATAAACTCGGACGAGTGACAGAGGCTGTAATTGGAACACTTTTAGATGAGAATGGCGCAGGTTTGTGCAAAGATCCGAATGTTGGATGGCAGAAATTAGAGCAGGGGAGAAAGAAAGATTAAAAAAAAGAGACGTAAAGGAACGAAAACATGCACAATAAGCATGCAAAATGCAGATATTTACCCTTTTATCGTCCAGATTCTGCAGAGCTTCCTTCCCTGTGCTCTCCCTTATCTCCACCTTCCTCGGCTGGGAGATGTCGGTCTGCCGGTCAATGACTCGCCCGTCACTCTTGCCCCTGCACGCCGAGAGCGCATCAAAGTCGAGCGTCTTGCTGTCCGAGGCGCCTTCCACCGGGCAGAACATGCCACAGAATTTCTGCCTCGGCCTGGCGGGGCTGTCAGAGCCCATGCTCTTGAAGAAGGCTGGCACTTCCCCGGCGGTCGACATGCCTTCCAGGCGTGGGGGGGTGTTGCGAGGGTTTTTCGGGGAGTAGCTGCACAGATGCTCAGAGTCTTAGCTCCTTGTATGTTTTTTTTTTCAGCTCCGCACGCTTGGACAGCCACCGCCTTTGCCGGGGTTTTCAAGCGCAGGTGGTCGCACTGTGACAAAAGCGCAAAAAAAAAAAAAATCTGTAAGGCTAATGGTGCATGAAAACACTCCCACTGTAGAGAGAGAGATGAATCCACGTAATATTATCTGATATTAGGCACAAATACGAGAGAATATCTACTAGTCTATGATCCTCCTACAGATCAGCAAACAGTTTTGAATTGCTTACTCATGAGTCTAAATTAGCTTCTAGGCTGCTGCCGATTTCCCGAGTTATAAGTCAGCATATGAGGGGAGAGAGCTAACAGTCTAGCTTTGTCAAAATAGAGACCCAATGGGCTACAGGAGGAGGAGGATTACCTGTAGCCTGTGTGAACCCGTCCAGAGACTGGCGGTGGCAGGAGCGCATCAGATGTGACTCTCCGGAAATGATCGGTCCTTTCTTGTCCAAAGTAAAGACTTGATGCTCTAATCCATCAGGAGTACTCCGACCTGCCTGACAGTGAGCCTAAAAGCCGTGTAATCTAATAATCAAGACCATGTCATGCAGCTGTGTCTGTGTCTCTGAGGGGCGTTTCTGGCACAAAGTTTGAGGTCAAGGAGCGATCAGCACCATGGAGAGTTCCCTCAGAGTCACACCCAGTCCAACAATGAGGGGCGCTGTCCATTCAGCACCACACCCTGCCTCCCACACACATACCTCTACATATTTTTAGGTTTGTTTGACTGACATAGAGTGTCAGCTGCATGTCTCACTGGCAGCTTTCACTTGGCACATACCAACTCAGACTAGGACGTTCAATCTTACACAGTGGAAAAGGACGGTGATGATTCAGTTCTCTAATTTGTAAAACTAATAATGAGTTATACATGCTAAACCTATTTTATTTCGTCATTTGTTTATTCATTTATTAAAGTAGTTTTAAGTCTATTTCTACCACTAAAAAGTGTTTCTCAATGACATTACACACTCAAGACTAAATAAGAAGCAATCAAAGTTCTTGTTATCTATAAAGAGTTTCACACTTAAATACTCAGCTACACTGCTCAGTAATCAGGTTTTGATTCAAATGTTACTAAATTGTGATTGGTTACACCGGACTGCATGACATCACGTTTTTCCAACTGTGCCACGCCCACTTGAAACCAGTAAAAAGAGCAAAGAAATATCTCAATATCCAAATAACTCAAACTGTTCTAACATTTGCAGAAATGTGTGCGTTCATGACGGACCCTGTCACTCAAAGAAGAATGTAAATGTTAAAATAATATGCAGGGCCTTTAATAAAGGGTAATGATGGGTTTCTCACTTTCTAATTAGCTACCAGTTCAAACAACCCTTTCCCTTAAGGTAAGTGGTCAAATGGCCCATTCACTGATGAGACAAAGCAAGTTACCCTGGAGGAGAAAACAAAGCAGTCAGAGAGATTTTTCACAACCTGAAAACCATAGATTTTTTTTCTAGAAAACAATTAAAAACTAGAAATGATTCATTAAAAATTACTAAAGCTATTAGGCACAACCCTTTATAAAAGACGTCTTGTTACAAAGTGGTACTGTGGATTTTAGTTTAAAACATATCTGATGTTTCTTACTCACAAACCACACAGTGAGTTAATATGTACAGTATCAGATCGCCTTCCTGTAAGATATAATGATGCTGTATTGATTGACATTGGGAAGCTCAGATGTCTCAGCAGCCACATAGCACACATGTGGTAAAGGACAGAAAAAATGCTGAATCATAAACGCTTTATTTCTAATGACATGTGAGTATAATGGACAGAAAACAGAGTGAAGAATGATACTGATAGTGATAGGTGAGCAGTGTTTTAACATGGGGACATAGAGTTTGAAAGAAAAAAGTACCAGACAGGGACAGTCAAATGAAATGATGCTATAAGTTGCATTTTGGGAAATGTAGGATCCAGAGTTTCTGCCATAAAGGAACTAAAATGCATGATATCTCACCTTCTGCTGGTTTTATTTTGAGCAATCCTTTTTTTAAATGTGTCTCTTGTGAGTCTCCCAACTTCATGGCTGCGGTACTCCTTTAAATCAACCCCGCCTGTGTTAGTGATCATAGATCTACTGTAGGTACCAGGTAAAATGTTCTGCCTAGAAACCTCTGTTCATAAAACCTTCCTCTAGTGTGGGATACATTGCTAGTCTATTGGGGTCATGACTGCCCATCGCTTCAACATGGTTTTATTTTATTTCCTAGTTTAATTTCCATCCTACTTACAGAGTTTTACCATTAAAAACAACTACAATCTCTCACTATCCAGTAAAGCTGTAAACCTCACTACATTCCTAGTATTGATTGTTACCGCTGCAAAACCCTGCACTTAAACTTCTGCTTAGACCAGTGTTTTCAGACTTTGCAAACGTGACACTTTTTAACATCGGACTGTTGTCTCCCACAAGATTACAACATTCTGAAGGCGTGTAACTCTTACTGCCACTGTAACACTTCTTTGAACACTGCTTTTAACGCCCTTCAAGTCATCAAGCACACCCTGTAAGCACATTATCAATGCATGACAGCCGGATCAGAAAATATTATAATGTACTGTATAAACATGCATCATGAATCTGGTGTGAAAATGTCATCTGACTGTTACTTGAGTCTTGTGATTGTGAATTTATTTTCTTTTAAATATTCATCAACACATTAGAATAAGGACATCAGAATATTGTGGAAGCCGAGAACGACCATGCATGCAAATGTTTCTTTTTAATGTTGTTATTGGGAGATCACAAGTTAATTATTTCATTATCTT